TATTTGGTTGTCGGTAAAATGATCATATTAGTAAAATAATTATGTCGGTAAATTGATCATGTCGGTAAAATGATCGTGTCGGTAAAATGATCGTCGGCAAAATGATCGTCGGCAAAATGTTTGTCGATTAAATTAACGGGTCCCATTTTATTTATTGTATATGCCGATCAATATAAATTTTTAAGTATAATACCCCTTATAGTATAATATCCCCTAAAGTGTAATACCCCCGGACTTTTTGCATCAAAATTATGGGTATGGTACTATACTATAGGGGATACTATAGTCCACCGTTTACGGTACGCGATACTGATTTTCACCAGGGCACAAATTACATGTAACCTAATCGGCCAAATCAACCTTCTATTGTGTTACAGAAATTTTTTTTACATATTTTGAAATTTATTATGTTAACTTTCAATTCTTATCATGCGTTGGCTTTACGTTCTCGGTCGTCTATACTGACGAAGAATAGTATTATTATATGCCGTAGGACATATCATAGGAATAAAAGAAGCGGTACGAAATAAACCCACATGCGTCGTCTATTTTTCAAATTTACTTATAAATAGTTTATCCTTTTTATTTAGATTTCAAGAATTATTATAAAAATAATGATTATAAGCAAAACATTTATAAAGGGTCTTCCATGTAGTATTAATTATTTAAAATATTTTTATGTTGGAATTAATTATTTAAGTACGTATTTTTATTTAAACCAGACAACGAAAAGAAGATTTTGACTATTTATATGGCCTTTCAGTTGTATTACCTGCACTTGAGCAAAAACGAAGAAAATTCTATCGATTATTTATTCAAGAAGGAATTCTTTTCCGTAGAAAAGAAAGGTATAAAAATGCGTTTAATTCTTTACTAAATGTAACGGATGACTTATAAATAAAATGTTCTTATGAATAGTAGAACTATACCTGAAAAGATTAAATCATTAGCAGATGAAGCGAATATTCCAATTATTGAAACGACTAAAGATGAATTGAATAAATTGTTAAAAGATGATAGACCACATCAGGTAAGATTAAATCCTTTTTTTTTTTCGCTCAAGTTTAATTGCTTTTATATTTACAAATATGGTCGAAACTTTTCAGGGAATTATCTTAAAAGCTTCAAAACTTGAACCTATAAAAATTAAGCATCTTGGGAAAATATACAATAATACGTAATTAGAACATTCTTTAACGCTTAAATTTAATGACAGAGTTTATGTTAATTATAAGCTTCAAACAATTGTTAGATATCAAGTCATTAAACCATTTAATTCCTTCATGACTCTTAATTTTTCACCAAATGGAAATCGGCCTTTTTGGCTCGCACTTGATCAAGTCGTTGACCCACAAGTTAGTCTTATTTCAATTGAATATAATAATTCACAACAATAATAATATTTATCTAATTAGAATTTAAACATATAGAATTTAGGTGCTATTATTAGGTTTGAACAAAGAAATATATAATTTTATAATTTTATCTTATTATTTTTTTTAAACCTTAATTTTAATTTTAATTATTAGATCTGCTTACTTTTTTAATGTTAATGGTCTTGTTATGTGTTCAAAAAATAGGTTTGTCCATCTACAATTGATTCAGACTTAATTCAACACGTTTAAAACTCAATGACATTCATTCGTTTTTATAGTGCACCGTTATCCGCGGTTACAACTAAAGCAAGTTCCGGTGCACTTGAAATTATGGATGTGTATAATGTTGATGATTTAACAAACTTTTTAAATGAATCATCACAAAACGGTTGGATGATATATGGGGCAGTATCAAATGTTGAAAGCAATAATATTTCTATAAAGAGTGCTATATCTATAGATGAATTAAAAAATCCTTTGTCACATAATCCCATAATTTTAGCCATTGGAAGCGAAGGTAAGAATTACTATTAAAAACCGTCACTATGTTGTTTATTATTATCTAATAAAAAATTCTTAGGTATGGGTCTCCGCCCAAATATCTTGAATGCCTGTCATTATCATTTGTATATACCTTCATCACACGCAAATAAATTAGAATACATTGACTCATTGAATGTTAATGCTGCTACTGCAGTATTATTGCAGAGATTTCTTGGAAACAAATTCTAATACATGATATTGCAGATGTGATATAATCAAACTACTTGTTTTATTAACTAATATATTTATAGAATAGAAAAAATATTTCGAGAAATTAAGTTTACTTTTTTTTATAATTGTTTGTATAGCGATGGGAATTCATGAAATTTTTACACAGGATTGTAACTTCATTTTTAAAATAAAATCATATGATAATTTGACCAACCAAGAATTAAGCCTCCTAATTTTTTGATTTTTCATACTTATCCCTTTTTGTTATTTACTTAGTCCAACATACTCAGATGTAATCGTATTCTTTTTTTTGAATTTATAACGATGCTCACAAAAATATTTCTTACAGAAAAAACTACTTCAACGGAGTTTTCTGAAGAATCAAAAAACTTCTCACTTTATGTCGTCAAAACAAACATAAAGATGACAACGATAAAATTTTTTGTAACGACCCATTATTAATAATTGAATACAATCAACCGGGGTCTTGAATTATTTGGAACTCCCTATCGCTCAAATTCAGTCATTGCATACGATGCTATCGTACGATTATTTGAAACTATAGTAACTTTGTGTCAGGACTATATGTGTGGAATTTCGTAGGGCTAATACATTTGATGTTTCTGAACGACCACGCATTTGTGATTGATATAATCATTGCTTGCTTTCTGCCTTAAATGGCTAGTTAATGATATACAGTATTATAATATTTAGAGAGAAATTCTGCAAATATTTTTTTTTGCATAGGTAATCTTGATGTTAGTATTTTGAATGTCGTTATTTGTTAATTCTTAGTATAAAATAACTATCTGAATTATTTTTCGGAATTTATGCTTACTGAAAAATAATTCACTTCGCATAATTCTTCCTATGAATAATTTCGATATATTTTTCATGTTGTTGCTCTTCTCGCAATCCCATATTGTAGTCAAGCTTTAAACCAAAGGTGATTTCAAGAATGGGGATTTAGACATAATTATTTTTGTTAACTTTTACATGAAGTGAGCACATTTCAATGTAATGATTCAAAAATTTTAAAACATATCGTTGTAATACATTTAGCATATTTAATAGTATAAAAATAAATGTGTATATATTGAAAATTATGAGTAGAGATTTAGTAAGTCGTTTAAATAAAACTTCGTAAAATTATATTAAAACCTTTTTAAAAAATCTGTGAAATTTAAAAAAAGGAACTTATATTAAAACATAAAAATGGTGATATTAAAACCTTAGCAAACTCATTAGTAATGTCAATTAATAACTTATCGGTTATGTAATGACTAATTTTTACCTTTGTAATTCTTCATAGCGATTAGTAATGTTAAAAAGTTGTTATTTAAGTTTCTTAATTTCATTTTATAGTTATTATATTTGTTTTTTCTTTAAACTAACTAACTGTTTGGTTAGAATAGAAAAACTTTTACAACCTTTTCAGTAAATGTTAGTCATCTTCTTTAATATCAGTATTAGAAATATTTAATCATTCCAGTTTAGTCAAATTTTAATAAAAAATTAGCAAACTAAAGTTTAGATATTTTTCTAAATCCAAAATATGCTTAAATAAATAACCTTAATCATAAAGTCATAATTTTTTATATTTCAAAGTACCATATCATTCCCTGACGCTTATTTTTAGAACGGTACAGTAATTCAATTTAATAATTAAATCTTTATTAATATTAAAAGTCTATTATTTTTATCTTATTTTAATATTACATATATAAGTTTAGAAAATGATTTAAATATAAAAAAATTATCTAATAAATTTATAAATTATAAAAAGAAATATAAATTATTAATAACTTAAGTTTAAAATATAAATAATAATATTATTGAGGATAAAAAATTTTAAATGTAATTTTTTATAAATAAAAATTTTTATTAATAAATAAATTTAAAAGAAAAAAATAATATTTATTTATTTACTTGATTTTTTAAAGTTATAAAATATTAAATATTATAAAAGAAATTTAATATATAGGTAAGTAGATCAAATTATATATGATTAAATTTTTTTGATTAAATATAATATCAATAATAAATTTATATATATGTAAATAATAATTTATGTTTTTTTTAAATGCTTAGATTAAAAATCATGTTTTTTAATTATTTTAATATTAACTAACATAATTATAAAGTTACAAAGTATTTATTTATATTACTTAATAAACTTTTTACATCTATAGTAATAATGAAAAAAATAGCAGTTGTGATCATATGATTAAAATAATAATTTATAATATATTTGATTAAATAATACAAACTAATTTTTTTCAGTTATTTACTACATTATACTGATTAATATGCATAAAAAAACTGAACATAAAAGTATTTTATCATTAATATAATATCATAATATCACAAAAAAATTTTTATTAAAAAATTATGTAAAGTTATTAAGTCATTATAAAATAATAAAATATGAAATATAAATAACTATACAAAATTATCAAGTTTTTACTAAGGATATTATATTGTTACTGTAGAATTCTTCAACTTAGGATAGTCACGTTATCAAGTCTCTACTCAAAATTTTTAATTGCGACTTACTGCGATCAAGACATTAGGATTCGCCTAATTCTTAACTTTACTAAATTTATGTGTTGGACTTAAATAAATCTTATCAAGTATGAAGACTTGAAAGACAAGAGTATAAACAATTTAATTAAAGAATTCTGATGATGAACTCAATTACAAATAATATGTAAGGATCACATCAGACTATATAAAGACATGAAGAGGCAGAAAGATATAAGTTTTGAATGATTCCTTTATTAATATTGAAACTCGTACTTACAAATTTGCAAAAAAGTTGATTTATAATATAAGCAAAAAGTCTATCTATTTATATAAAATTTCTTTTATCACGACTAACTAATTACTATACTATAAACTAATTAATTTAGCAAAATAAAATATAAGTAAAATAAATATATTGAGAATGATAAAAATACGTAAA